ATGAAATCTTTCTATCGGACTATTGCTATTTGGGTTGTAGGCGGTTACGTAATGGACATCTATATGATGTAAGAGACAGAGATCTTGAAATATTTTATTCCTAAATTCTGTGCCATTGTCACATGTGATTTTGTTGGGTATTCCGTAGTGACTTATAAAGAATGTTAATTTGTTAACAATTTCCATAGCGTTTATTGAATTTATGGGATAGGCTTGACCGAATTTAGAAAAGCTATCTATAATGGTAAGGAAATTTTGGTTACTAAACTTAAATGTATCGATATATATGTGTTCCATAGGGGAATTGCCAATTGGTGTTGGTTTGAGAATAAGTGAGGTGGGATGTCTTTCGTACTTTGATTTTTGACATAGGTCACAAGTATTGACGTAATTTGTGACATCTTTGTCCATGTCAGGTTTCTCTTCTGTATTTGGTATTGCTATATTTTGAAGAATTTTTATTTTCTTATCTTTTTTGGTATTTTCTTCTATGGATTCTACAATATCTTCTTCTGGTACTGGTAGTTCTTTGTCGATTATTTCGTTAATAAATTCTTGTGTTATGTTTTGGTATGGATTAATATTTATAATATCTTGTATATCGTTGTGATCAAGAGCAGGTTTTAATATAATATCATTCGAATCTAAGTCTCTAAGTTTCGACATTTCGTTTGTTGATTCTTCAAGATCAATAAATTCGTTGTGGTCTAAGTTCATTATAATGGACAATTTGTCGTTATCTTCGGTATCTATGGGATGAATTTCTACTCTGGAGAGAGCATCTGCGTTTGTGTTTAATTTGCCTTTCTTATAAATAATCTGGTAGTCGTATTCCTCTAATTTAAGTTTCCATCTTATTAGTTTGGAATTAGGTTCCTTTAAGGAGAAAAGCCATTGTAAGGGTTTATGGTCACAAATAATGTTGAATTTTGTGCCGTACAAGTATGGTCTGAAATATTTAACAGCATATACTATAGCTAAGAGTTCTTTTTCTATGGTACTGTAGTGACATTCCGCTGGATTCAAAGTCCTAGATGCAAAAGCAACAGGTAAGTCGTTTCCTATTGGTCCTTGAGATAGTACTGCTCCGATTGCGAAATTTGAAGCATCTGTTGTTACATTAAAAGGTTTGCTAAAATCTGGGTATTGTAAGATAGGATCATTCATTAGGATGTTCTTACAAAGTTCAAAACTTTCTATAAATTCAGGAGTGTGTTTGATTTGCATTCCTTTTTTTAAGCATGATGTTAGCGGTTTAGTCAATTTGGCGAAATTTTTTATAAATCTTCGGTAATAGCCTATGAGTCCTAAAAATGATTTAATTTCTTTGGCAGTTTTTGGGATGGGAAATTTTTTTATTGCATTTACCTTTTTCGGATTAGGTTTAATGCCTTCTGGCGTAATGACGTGTCCTAAAAATTCTACATCTTTGCAAAAGAATTCTGATTTGTCTAATTGTATCTTTAAACCAGCTTCTCTCAATCTCTTAAAGACTTGTTTTATATTACTTATGTGTTCTTGAAGTGAAGTGGAGAATATTATTATGTCATCCATATATACAAAACAAATTTTATTTAAAATATCTTTGAGTATGTTATCCATTACTCGTTGAAACGTTGCAGGTGCATTTTTAAGGCCAAATGGCATACGAAGATATTCATAGTGGCCATTTTCGACATTGAAAGCTGTCTTAGGAATAGACTCTTTCTCCATTTCTATCTGTGTAAATCCAGAAGCTAAGTCAATTGTAGTAAAATATTGGCATCTGCCAAGTTTATCTAGTATATCCTGAATGGAAGGTAATGGGTAGCGATCGTCAACAGTTTTTTCATTTATTTTTCTATAGTCTACCACGATTCGCCATTTTTGTCTTCCTGAAGCGTCTAATTTCTTTGGAACAATCCAAATGGGAGAACTCCACGGACTCTGTGATGGTCTGATTATTCCATCTTCTAGCATTTTATTGATTTGTTTTCTTATCTCCTCCTTATGTATGTGGGGGTATCTGTATGATTTTGAATATACTGGAATTTCATCGGTGGTATTAATGCTGTGTTTTACTTGATTTGTGAAGGTCAATTTGTCTTCAGGGTTATGAAAAATATCTTGGTATTCTTCTACTAATAATTTCAGTGCATGTTTTTCTTCAAGATTCAAATGATCTTGTCTAAAATTTTCCAAAGTTATTTTCCGGTCCTTAGTGTTAATTGTATCGTTTATAGTAATGTTCATAATTTCTTCCATTGAAAAGCAATTAAAATTTCTTGTATCAAAATTTTCCGCAAAATTATTTAGAAAGTTGTTATCGATATTAATTAGTTGTGTGTGGAATGTTTTATTAACAAATTCAATTTTTACACGTCCGTTTTCAACATGAACTAAACTTGATGGGATTTTTATTGTTTTTGTTTCATTAACAATGTCGTTAAGAAAGATATCTCCATCTGGTAATGATGTCTGTATATTTTTTATTACAGACGAAAAAGGTGGAATTTCTATCTTTTGACTATTAAAATCTTTTCTATAATTAAGAGGGATCTCTGAGTTTTGATTAAAAAGGATTTGGCGATTTAAATCTAAATTTAAGTGTAATTTTCGAAGGTCTCGTATTCCTAATATACCGTCAAAATAATTATGGAAATCAAATAAGACAAAGTCGAGAGGTTCGGATATGTGAAATTCTTGCAAAAGGGGGATTTTGGCTTTGAATTGGGATTCTCGGGATCCTGCACACGTAATAATCGGAGTTGTGTGTCTTGTGATTTTTTCTGAAAAGTATTTTTCGGCAATGTAGGGTCTTAGGAGAGATGGGTGACAGCCTGTGTCAATTAGTAATTTAATGGGAGTTGGAAAGTTTAATTGAATGTATGGGAGAGAATTGGGAATTGTATTATTTAGATCAATGTGTTGGTTTAATCGTCGGGATTTTCGTGACGATCCTCTTGAAAATTTTCATTTATGTTTACAGAGTCTGTTTGGGGATTTGGAGGTGATTATATGCATCACAATATTGGTTATCTTCATTTTCGTCTTCTACTTGATAAAGTTCTTCGAATTGGAAATTTGGAGGGCCTCTCTGAATAAAGGGAAATTTTTGTTTTCCGGAAGAGATTCTAGATGTCGTTGACATTGGTTCCGGTGAGAATGTATTTTTTGGGACATTCCTGGGATCAAATACATTTTTTGGTTTCCCAAAAACTTGTTCGTTTGTAAAATATTTAGTTTGAATAGGTCTAGATTGAATTTTTATCGGTTGGCTTGGAAAATTTTGTTTTGATGTACTTGGTTGATTGAAATGACGATTAGGATTAGATTGGTTGTAATTGGAAAAGGTTTGCCTTGATGTATTAGGCTGATTGAAATGATTATTTTGTTCATGGTGATTTGAATAATTAGAATTAGATGAATAACGTGTGTTATAGCGATGATTAAAGTTTGGATTAAGATTGCGGTGTTGTTGGTTATAACTTATTTGATTATTTGATTTTGAATTTTGAAATTGAGGTTTTCCTTTAAATTTATTTGAAAAGTTTATTGAATCGACTCTTTGGTCATTATAAAATTGTCTATTTAATATGTCGGATGCTTCTATAAACGATTTCGGTTCCTTTATTTCAAGAATCGTTCTAGCCTTCTCATCTACGTTTGCAAGTATAATGTCTATGGAATTTGCTTCATTTTGTTCCATTAATATCGTTTTCCGTTCAGCACTTAAATTCGTTTCTGAATTTATTTTAATTTCCAATCTTGATTTGAGTTGCGATATTCTTGCTAAAAAGTCTATAATATTTTCGTTTTTGTATTTTGTTGTTTGTAGGAATTCTTTATTCAATGTTTGCCTGTCGATTCTGTCGCCGAAGTTATTTCTCAATGTACTTCGAATCAATGGCCAGGTATTTAAATCTGGTCTACACATTACGAAGTTTAATACGTTGTCTTGTAACTTCGAACATAATACATTATATGTAAAATCGTTCAAGGTATTATCCGTTGTCTGTCCATAAGTGCGATAATACTGGTCGCATCTTTGGATAAAGCTTTCCAATTTTAACGGATCCCATTAAATGTGGGTAAAAAGTCAGCGAGAGCTTTTGCCGCTTGAATTGTGGGTGTGTTATTTAATGCCATTTTGTTTAAGTTACAAATTAAATTATCAATATCACTTTGCATAAAAAATGTTTTTAAAATTACTCAAATGAAGAAGATTTATTACAATCTCTGACAAATGGTAAAAATAAAATAAAACTGGTAATAATTTTCAAAATATAAAGGAAAATAAGAAGTAAGGAAAATTCTCAGTAACTTACTTGTTTATTGTAGGTTCTCCGGATAAATGGTGGACACCAACGGTTGTACTGCAATTAACTGGAATCTGCTGCAACCTTCAGGTATCCTACTGACTGCGCCAATTAAATAACTCGTTTTCAGACTCGCGTTTTTAAAAACAATTTATTTAAAATTAACTAAATACAATGGTTAAATAACGAATCAAAACAAGTATACAATAACAATAATAAATCAAGAATGAATGTTCACAGCCGTGGCTGCACTATATATAACGCACTAATGACTTGGACTATGATGTGTAGATATCTCTTTTATGTCTATATAATTACCTTGAAGAGACTCTATCACAAAAATCCATAAAAAGAAGACCACAGCACGAGGTTTTCATGGAAAAAGAGAACGGTTCTATAAAAAAAAATATATTGTCTAACGTGATTATACTGAATTATTTTTTTTTAAGAACAACTCAATTCTGCAGTGTAATTTTTTATTAAATAAAGTTTCAATAAATATTTTTTCAGTATTTTTGTTAATTTCTATAAAAAATTTCAAACACACTTTTTTGAAAACCTGACGGGCTAAAAATGAACTATGGTCATATGTTTATATGGTTAAATGGTTATAGGATACCTATTAAAATTAAAACACATAAAAAAAATGTAGGGCTGTGTAATAATCATTGCTTATCTCTAATGAAATGTGTTTTGTTTCAGATGATGAAACATGTGCAGCTGTCTCCTTACAGGAGCAGAGCTGACACAGTGTCTCTCAGTTCAACGGTTTCGTACGGCAGTCTCAGTCCAGAACCACTGGGAAGCAGGTCATCCAGTTATTCGTCGTTGAATGAATCTGTACAGGTAAGTTTTCGTTCATTATTAGTATTTTTCTCTATGACATCAAAGCTGCTCAAGGTAAACAGTACTTTAAACGATTAACTAATAAAATTGCTGGTAACGGTGAAATAGCAAATCTTAAGGATTGTCTTTATTTGGTCGCTATTTTGAAGAGTAGCACTCTTCTCTTATGTATTTAATGACTTGGACCTCACCGCAGTTGCATCACATTTGTTTAGTAGATGTTCACACATTGACTGTGTTTAGTCCTGATGCGATTAAATGTACGCCATGTTTTGCGCGAAATCTAAATCCAGAACTTTCTTTTGCCACACAAAGCTTTCATTTCACCACCATTTAAATCATCCAAAATGTTTCTAGTCTTTAGTTTTTCATCAACTTTGACAAGATGCTACTTCAAGCTTAACGTAAGGTCACGTCAAAGTATTTTAGATATTTATTATTATGGAAAGCGTTATTTATTGGTCTGAGAACAGTTTCGTAGGAGATTAGATTAAGTCAGACCACCTTCCTTTTACTAGTCAAATCCATCCTAACAACCCCCAGAATACGAATTCCTGTAATATACAGCAGAGATCACCTTCCAAAATCTCCCAGATTAACTTTAAAATTAACCAACAACACTCTCACCTAAAAATTATTGATATCATCTTAAACAATCCACTAGACTCCAATCCACGACCCCTACCCTTCCATAAGGGATAACTATCACCTGATAGTAGCTTCAGTAGACGTAGACATCGTCAGAAGTATGTTTAGGCAAAGACACAGCCCATGATTGAGATTTCATCCACAAGAGATGACTCAAACAACTTCCGTAGAGTATTTTCCTATCTCCTGAAAAATAGAATCCACTCAACAACACAGAATTCAGACCAATTTCACTCTAAAGCACTCTAGACAAGATCTACGAAAGGATCCTTAAGGAAAGACTCATAAAAAACCTAGAAGAATTTCATTCATCCTCAACTACCAATTTGGAGTCAAAGCTTGACATTCCACACGTAATGCATTGATAGAAGCAACAACCTTCGCAACTCAAGCCATTTACGAAACTCGTACATACACATCTTTCTAGATTCTAGATATCCAGAAAATTTGATCAGGTCTGGCATTTATGTCTGATTTAAAAACTCAATAAAACGTTGGTGTCGATTTCATTTATGAAAATCATATCCTTATGATACTTTATCAATTTCTGAGTGATTGCAAGTTGATTTCAACGTGAGGTACAAGATGCTAAAATGTTACGTTTGGATTGTTCTCTTATATGCTGAATGCTTAGAATATCATGGAAGGATAGACTGTGAAATGAGGAAGTATATTAAGAAGAACGGCCCTCCAGAATAGGGAACTTTGTGATTTTGTAAAAAGTATAACGTTTGGATTGGACTGCATATTTAAGGCACATCACGAGGAAAACAATAAACTTTTCAGCAATTACTAGTAGAGGGAGGTTTAGGACGTAAAAAGTTGTCATAGCTGCTTTTCCATAGCTGTGGATGCTAATCCATAGTTATGGAATGCTTCGCAATACTGCCAAAAATAGAATAATTTATAACATCGTGCAAAAAAGTACGGCATCTTTAGGAAAAATAAGAAGACGATATGCTCTAATTATTAAATTAATGAATAATAATGAGATTTTTATCTTTATTAATTTATAATTTAAGCAACCCATTGTATAATTCATCGCACGGTGTTAAGATGCTCAAAAAGTGCTCAAATAAATATATTATGTTGTAAACGTATTGTACATTTGCGTTTGAAAATTTTGTTTGTGTTGATGCGTTAATATATCACAGATAACACCGAAGAATATTGTTTATCAATTTGTAGTGTAATGTCAATAACTAGGACACTCTTTGGCGGCTGATAGTGTACTTACAAGTCCATTTCTTCTAATTGTTACAATTAATCTCTCTGTGATAAGCGGCATACTATAAAATTTGATATCAAACGGCGTTTTTAACAAAATCTATCCTTTTTGTCCCATTTCTTAAAAGATACTCTATTTTTAATCATGGGTAATACAAAAAGTATCTACGATCATACAATTATTGTTGATTCTCGGATTTCATAAATGACTGGAATGACATAAAAAAAAGTAGTTGCTCAAGACTCTATATAATTTATACACATCCGCATAACTTTTAAGTAGCGACTTCTGGTAGAACAGTAGCGGAGAACGAAAAGTATTTCTAATAAAGCAGAACCGACGTAGTCTAGGGACAAAGGGGGCTTTCATTTACGATTGAGATCCATGATATTTTACAACTGATGTTTTGGTTGGAGAGCGAGGTCATGGATAAAGATTCATTTTTTGGGGGGACGGAAAACTAACTACAGAAAAAGAAATCAAGAAATACTTACAAAAATATCTTGAGCAAATACTAAACAAGAAAATTTCCACACTATTTAAAATTAGGACGCCGTTCCTAAAAATCTTTAAGGGTGAATATTTTTGTTAAAGAAATATTTTTCTAAACTCCTAGTTTAAAAAGCAGTTTTTAGTTTTTATTGTACATAAACAGTTATTACAAAAAATATTTAAATGTATTAACAAACATGAGATTGAACCTTCTAACTTCTTCTTCTTCTTGATATGCCTATCCGTTCCGAATGTTGGCGATCATCATGACAATCTTTACCTTATCTGCAGCAGCGCAGAAAAGCTGCATAGATGTTGTATTGAACCAGATTCTGAGGTTCTTTAATCAAAATGTTCTTCTTCTTCCTGGACCTCGTTTTCCAAATATCGTTTTCCTTGCAGGATGGCTTGAAGGAGAGCATATCTGGAATTATTTCGCATAATATGTCCGAAGAACTGTAACTTTCGAGATTTAACGGTGGTCAGTACCTCTCTCTTAAAGATAAAGATTGCCATGATGATCGCCAACATTCGTAACGGATAGGCACATCAAGAAGAAGAAGAATAACCATTAGAGGTGAGCGCTTTTTTAATATGAAGAAGTTCACTTTGCAGATGCTGTGGTTCACAAATTCTCTTCGCCCTCTCCCCGCCAGAGTTATGATGATACCTTGTTTTTGGCCTGGATGATAATTTCAGTTCCTATTTAGGTATATGTCCGTGTGTGTAGGTTTTCGATACACTTTATGTCCTAGGTAACCTTCCTTTCGATTTACTAATACATCTAGGAACGCTAGTTGTTGATCTTTCTCTGTTTCCATTCATAAGTTGAATATTTGGATGTAGTGTGTTTATATGACAGGAAATCTTAAGTTTTTCTACTCCGTGACCCCAAATCACAAAAGTGTCATCGAAATATCTAAACCATACCCTTTTCTTGTATGCTGACTCCATTACCCTCTTCTCTGGATGCTCCATGAAAAGGTTGACTACGACCGGGCTTATTGGCTTTCCATTGCTACTCCATCTACCTGTTCATAAATCTGGTCTTGTAAATTTGGTCTGATTTTGTAAATAGGGAAATAACATCAAAGCTAACAAGAATGTCAGGTTCCTGTAAAGTTATTTCTTTGATCTTCTCGATGAAATGGGCGGACTCTACAAATGCATCTTTTTTCCTATGTGTGGTTGTAAAATAATGGCCAGATATTTAGCAAGGCTGTAAGATGAAGACCCTATGGACCTCACAATAGGACGTAGAGGTACATCATCTTTGTGTATTTCCGGTAAGCCATACAAGCATGGTGGACTGCTTCGCTGTTGCATATTCTTGGCTTTGTATCCTCTGGTATATCCGAAGTTTTTTTACGTCTATTGATTTTCCGTAAGGTGAGTGACTGTTGTGGGATCTTTTTTAAGTCTTTTGTATACCGCAGTACATAGAAGATTTTGTATTTTCGTTTTGTAGTCGGTTGTCTTCATTACGCCGGTGGCGTTTCCCTTGTCTGTTGGTAAAATTACAACATCTTTGTCTGCGTTTAACGATTTTATGGCACGGATTTCTTGGTGACTCAGGTTTCGGTGTCTTAGCTTTATGCAAAATTCTCGCTGATTCTGTCCTTATTTCTTCAGCTTTTTCGATCGGTAAGTTGTGAATCGCAAACTGCGATGATGTGATGATATCTTCTTTGGGTACTTTAGGTACAATTGCAAAATTTCTTTCTTTGGCTAGCAATGATGTTTCGGCTGGAGTTAAAAATACAATAACTTGTATTATAGCTACAGCAGTCCAGAATGTCTAAGAAATTAACAAACAAGTTCTCCACTTTGCAGAAATATAATGGATACATATCCATTATTCTCAATCTACTGAAGAAATAAAAGATGACCTGGGCAACCTTTCTGGTGCCAGTCAATTGTGGTGCCGGCTTCAATTAATTCCATAAGATTACGCGTCTCCTCTCTCTCCTTGTCTAAGTGTGTCTAAAATTATAAATATTAAATATTACAAAAAATGGAAACAATAAATTTGGTTATGTTGCAGCTTAGGCATTCACAGATACACCCTCGTAATATTCACCTAATGTACAAGGACATTATGGTCACTAGGTACTCTTTGACTTGATTTTTAAAAGCTGTAGTTGAATTAATTCAACTACAGCTTTTAAAACTCCACATATTGAGAGGAGCAAAATATGAAATACCACAGTTAATCCTACAAGGGAAGATCGAAGGTAGGAGGGGAGCCGCCGCAAACAATTATCCTGGTTAAGGAATATTAAAGAATGGATAGGAATACACAATACAGGTGAGCACAATACACGCCGCCAAGAACAGAATTCTAGTAATGAGATAGTCGCCTACGCACTTTGGTGTATGGCATGTTAAGAAGAAGAAGTTGAATTAATATTTTTAAATTTTTGAGGAAGTTGATTATACAGTAGAAAACCACAGATAGTAGATGACTTTCTGCTTATTTCTAAATGTCGATAGGGTACTACAAACTGTCTCTTATTTCTTGTGTTGTGTGAGTGAATATTACTGTTACATAAAAAAGTTCTTTTATTTTTATGAATTAGTATCAATAATTCCAAAATGTAAATTCCATACACTGTTAATATATTCAAATCTC